ACTGCCTTATTTTCTCTTGCCAAAAACAAGTTGTGCTTTAAGTTTTAACTCTATAGCTGCTGTGTGGACTTGTTATGGGTAAGTGGGTGGGGTTCTTTTTTCTAAGATGACATAAATTATATATAAACCTTAAACCCAAGAGACAATAAAATACATATATATATATATAAAACTTTTCCTACTCGTTACAATTTTTCTATATTTAAAGACTATATCATTCAATCTATTAACTCCTTCCTAGTGTGGAAACGCCATCTCTGTCTCACAGTGTCATTAACTACCAATGTAATAAGTTTCTTACATCCTTTTACAGTTGACCAAAGAATTTGGTACCCACTATTAATATGTCTAATTACTTTTATTTATATATTTTGAATTCTATGAGTGCAATGAAAAATAAATGTATATTATCATAGTCATCACAGACATGGTGCAGTTTATTTTAGTATATAAAGATTAAAATCATAAGATGAATATTTGTAAATGATGCTAGATTATGTTAAACAGTTTTAAAGTTAAAAGATTTGAGTTAGAATGAAAGTATTGGGAAAATTGTAAGTTGTTAAAATGAAATGGAAAGAATTAATACATAATTAAATTGTTACCCAACTGAATTAAATGGTTGGATGAAGATGAAAATAGCAATAAATAAAAAAAGAAAAAAGAAAAAAAGAAAAAAAGAAAAATGCTGGATGGTAATGTCAAAGACTAGGGAAAAAGAGACGGTGGAAGCGTAAAAGGAAGGAAAGGGCGAAGAAGTGGCCTTGCAAAGACCGCCACTGTCGGCGTTGGTGAGGCATCAAACGTCTTTAAACGACGCCACATCTCTTTCAGTTCTAGTGTGTGTGGGCGTGTGAGCGCAGGCTCAGTCTCAGGCCCAGCAAACAAGCCCCAGCCTTAACCCAACCCCTCATCGACTTCCGACCTTAAAACGCTCTCTTCCCTCCTCATTTTTTCTAAACCCCCCATTATCGCAATCCCATCCCATCCCTTTCTTCTCTCCCTCCTCTTCTCTTACCACTCCCTGCTTCCACCTCTCTGCTTCCTTCACAATGGGAAGATTTGGGGCGGTGGTATTCATCGCCTTACTTATTTTTCTCTGCGGATCTGTTCAGGTGAGATCTGATGCCTCGGATCATCGCTATAAAGATGGAGATCCTGTTCCTCTCTATGCTAACAAAGTTGGCCCATTTCATAATCCGAGGTAATTCCACCTTCTTCTCCTCAATTCCCTTACGCCCCTCTTCTTCATTCTTTTACAAGATCTACCATTTCATCACTGTTTTCTCCTCCGCTACTATTTGATTCATAATTTTGTAGCCGCTAGCTTTCATTAGATTGAATTACTTGTTGATTTGATGATTTCAACCCAGATCTGAGCTAATTTGTGCAGTCAATGCATTGACCGGAAATGTTACTTTTGATCTGCTAAATCGTCGACCTAAATTACTGCATTTTTTTTTTTCTGTTTAATGTTCGTCTACCGTTATACATGGGGAATATTCAAGACACTCGAGATACCGTCTTCAAGATATTCTGCTTATTCCTAAACAAAGTAACAGCCTCACTGTTTTTGTATTGTGGCGTGCTTTCTTGCTAGAATATTTGAATTTCCATCTTTCATGCTACGGGTTAACTTCATTTTTTTTTTTTTTTTTTNTTTGAATTTCCATCTTTCATGCTACGGGTTAACTTCATTTTTTTTTTTTTTTTTGTCGATTCATTTTGGTTCATTGAAATAAGATTTTACTCGAGACTCTAACTTATGAAAAGTATAGGATGCAGCTTCATAGGCGTTAGAAGATGTTGTAATTCGCTACCCGACATTTCATCTGACATAATGCATTTTCTTTTTTGGTGACAGTGAAACTTACCGCTACTTCGATCTCCCATTCTGCGTACCAGGTGTGTATCGCTTGTGCTAATTCCCCCAAGCTTCCAGAAGGATATTTGTTAGTTGGAATTTGGATAACCAATTATATGAATTTAAATTGCAGATGACGTGAAGGAGAAAAAGGAGGCTCTTGGCGAAGTATTAAATGGAGATCGTTTAGTTAGTGCCCCATACAAACTTGACTTCTTGCAGGAGAAGGATGCCACTTCTGTTTGCCAGAAAAAGCTTTCAAAGGAAGGTGTTGCTAAATTCCGTGCTGCAGTAGACAAGGACTACTACTTTCAAATGTATTATGATGATTTGCCAATTTGGGGTTTCATAGGAAAGGTTGACAAGGAAGGAAAAGAACCAAGTGATTTCAAATACTACCTATACAAGCATATCCATTTTGATATATTTTATAACAAGGATCGTGTTGTTGAAATAAATGTCAGAACGGACCCCAATGCTCTTGTTGATCTCACAGAGGATAAGGAAGTTGATGTCGAATTTTTATACACTGTAAAATGGAAGGAGACAACCACCCCATTTGAGAATAGGATGGATAAGTACTCCCAATCGTCGTCACTGCCTCATCATTTGGAAATTCATTGGTTCTCAATTATAAACTCATGTGTAACTGTCCTCCTCCTTACTGGATTTCTTGCCACCATTCTTATGCGTGTGCTTAAAAATGACTTTGTCAAGTAAGAAGATTTAATATTCTTTTTTCCATTGTTTGTTCTGCCTGCCATTTCAATTCGTGCCTTATTCTACGGGAGCCAGTGTCTTTGTATGTTACCCTTCTGTGTCTATGATATAGATATGCCCATGATGAGGAATCAGCTGAGGACCAGGAAGAGACTGGATGGAAATACATACATGGTGATGTATTTAGGTACCCGAAACACAAGTCTCTTTTTGCAGCCTGTCTTGGTTCTGGTACCCAACTGTTTACACTGTAAGTAATAGTCCTGTCAACCATCAAAGCTACTATTTAGGAGCCTCTGGTTCCCCCATCCCCAACATTTTTGTGTTGACACTTTGTACATAAATTCTACAGTACAGTGTTCATTTTCATACTTGCGCTTGTTGGAGTGTTTTATCCATACAACCGAGGGGCATTATTCACTGCACTAGTTGTAATTTATGCTCTCACATCTGGGATTGCTGGCTATATCGCAACTTCCTTTTACTGCCAGCTCGAGGGAACAAACTGGGTACTTTCTCTTTGAATTATTTTCTTTCAATTACTTCAGTATTTTGGGCTAACAAGGTCTTTGATTTCTAAATGATAGGTTAGGAATCTACTGTTGACGGGATGCCTTTTCTGTGGGCCTCTTTTTCTGACATTTTGCTTTCTAAATACCGTTGCAATTGCCTATACAGCAACTGCTGCCCTTCCTTTTGGTACTATTGTTGTAATAGTTCTCATATGGACTCTTGTAACATCGCCTTTGCTGGTGTTGGGTGGAATTGCTGGTAAAAACAGCAAGGCTGAATTTCAAGCTCCAGTGCGTACCACTAAATATCCTAGAGAGATTCCACCTCTGCCTTGGTACCGTGGGACAATTCCACAGATGGCAATGGCTGGATTCCTTCCTTTCAGTGCCATATACATTGAGTTATACTACATATTTGCCAGTGTGTGGGGCCACAGGATTTACACCATATACAGCATCTTGTTTCTTGTCTTCATTATTCTCCTGATAGTTACGGCATTCATTACTGTGGCATTAACATATTTCCAACTTGCTGCCGAGGATCATGAATGGTGGTGGAGGTATGCAACTACTGCCCCTTTGTAGCTAGCTAATGATTAGTTACATTCTTTAGTAATTTTGAAACTTTTGTCATGTGTGCTTCCTTTTCATCCTTTTTCAAGCTTATAAATTATAACCCTAATTATTTATAATCCTAATTATTTGTAGAATAATTCAAGTGGATATTATTTTTATTCATTTTTTTGCTCCAATTTTCTGATGATAATAGAGGCAGGATGAAGCCTGTTTCATTAATTATGACATGATTTCTTGTTGAACATGGCATTTATGAGAGATAATTTTGTTTACAAGGTAAAAATTCTGAAAAGTTAATGATAGTCATTCAGGATGATTGTCGTTCTAAGAAAAAAAAAAAAATCATGTTTTCTTTCCCTACGGCCGATTGTCTATGTGCTGCCAACCACCTCCGTCAACGCTGCTGATCAGGTTTGGCCATTTGGGTTTTTATATGGGTGTCTGTGACGCACTGCGTTTCCAAAATTAAAAAAAAAATAATAATACAAGGGGGGACGCAATTTTGCGTGTCGGACATGTGTCCCGACACTGATTCTTCTACTATATTAGCGTATCCGTGCTTTATAGTTTCTTATCATCACCCTTTTTCCCGTCTTGAACATTACTCTTCTGGTAGCTTTGATTACTTTGAAAAAAAGTTGGTTGCCTAAGCATGCAAGAAAGGTGTTTGTATGAATACTAAAAGCTGTCAGATTTCTCATAGTAGTCGTTAATGTGACAGACCTAAGTGTTTTGTTTGTGCAACTGTTACTTTATGATTCGTTGTTTGGAATGCATTTCGCTTAGACCATGACACAGACGTCAGATTTAACATCTATCCATGAATACTAATATATTTAGATTGCATTTACGTGCTGGTATTTTCAATATTGGATGAGGTGGCAGTTTATGTAGGTATTTGAATCTTTGATATACCATAGAACTGTTGATGTAGACCTTTCGAGCACTGTGACTTGGAATATAAAGCCATGATTAATTTGTTCCTTTGACTTCATTCGTTTGCAGATCTTTTCTTTGCGGTGGGTCAACTGGCTTATTTATCTATGCGTATTGTTTGTACTACTACTACGCTCGCTCTGATATGTCTGGGTTTATGCAAACATCGTTTTTCTTTGGCTACATGGCCTGTGTCTGCTATGGCTTCTTCCTGATGCTTGGAGCTATTGGTTTTCGAGCAGCTTTGCTTTTTGTTCGCCACATATATCGATCCATCAAGTGCGAGTAGTCCTGGTACCACCCATCACTCAATGCTGAGAAGACAGAGTCATGTTTCTTTGAACTTTTCATATTCATAGGTTTCTATGTAGAAAAGTTACCTGCAGCAGTCCTTTTTTTTTTGTCTTTTTGGTGACATGACAGCAATTTGTTTAGATATTATGCTCTAAGAGCTGAGCAGTATGGTAATAGGATGGATGACCGTGCCAGACACGAACTTGGTGACGGAGTTTGTACCAGTATAATAGTTGCAATGCTTTTGTTTTAAACTGAAGTTTGTCCAATACATTATTGTTCTTCCTCTCAGGTGTCAAACGCTCTTTTATGATGAAATACTCTGTCCAGAAATTGAATTCATTTTTGGTGGGTCAGTTCCTCAATTTTTTATTTAAACCCGAAGTAAGTTCACTTGAACAAACTCAGAACAGTTCCAAATGACATAGAACTATAAAACGCCAGTATGATTAATCCCTTATTGTTCCTTGGTCGTAATTGCCACAGACAAATTGGTCCTCGTTGATGGCTTCAAAGCAACCTTCAACGATGTCTTTGGATATAGGTTCCCTGCCCTGCCCGCATCTCATCTACAATAATAATAACAAGAAATTTGTGTAATGGCCTGAGGGTACTCTCACACTATTCGTGCAATGCAGGTACGTGTGTTCGTTGCAGTTATATGTTTGGCCCAAACAATTTTGCAACTGGATTTCTCCATACACCACGTGCTTTCCCAAAACATACCCTTCCGGAATGGGCTCCCACAATTCTATTACGCAGACCAGGTTGGTGACTTAAAGTTTTGGGCTTACGAATGAACCAAACAAATGTAATGGAAAACTGGGGATCCAAAATAATAAAAAAAGAAAAAAAAAATAGTTTAAGGGTAAAAGTAAAAGTTGCAAAGATTTATGAGAGACATAATCGAAGTTGGTATTAAATTATATATATAATTGGGATGAAGTGAGGTTTGAGTTTTAGGGGTTTAATTAATAATTAATAATTAATTATTAATTTGGGTGGAAAAAAAGATGTGTTTTTTTGGATTTAAAAGATGATATGAGTTTCCCTCCCCCACTCACATGGTCTGTTTCTTGAGTCATCGCTACTCATCTCTCTCTCAACTTTACAACATAAAAAAGAAGGAAAGAAAGAAGGAAAGAAAGAAAGAGAGAAAGAAAGAAGAGATGCCTAACCGTAACCTCCATGGGCCCCCAGCTGCAACCCCAAGTTGATGATTACCCTTTGTTGCCCCCAACTTTATTTCTTTCTTTCTTTCTTTCTTTCATCTAAACCCTAAATATATGCTTATTAATCCTTCCCTCACCCAGAGCCTACTGCATGCCATGCTTTTGCTTACCACAGACCCACTTCCGCTGCCGCTGCCACTGCCACTCACTGCTTCAGCTTTTTTTTTTTTTTTTTTTTTTTNCTCACTGCTTCAGCTTTTTTTTTTTTTTTTTCTCTTTCCTTTTCCTTTCTTTTCTTTGCACACCGCTTTTTGTTTCTTTTTACTTTACTTGGAATGGAATGCCTTTGGGGTCTCACTCGGTTGCATGGAAGATCTATGTTATCGCCACTCTTCTAAAATGTTAATTAATTATACCATTCATATATTTGCAAAGGGGTGTACGTGTTTTTGTCTTGCATGTGAGATGACACTGGAAGTGAAGGCGATAGAGAGCCACATGGAGACTAAAAGGTCATCTTCCAAGAAAAGGCTACACATTTACTACCAAAAAGATAAAAAGAGAGAAACCCACATCGACAACACATGCCCGCTACCCTAACTTTCCTCTATTTTCTTTAATTTTTTTGTAATCATCCTTCCCCGGCTCTCTCTCTCTCTCTCTCTCTCTCTCTCTCTCTCTCTCCCTATATATATATATATATATATATATATATATATATATATATATNTCTCTCTCTCTCTCTCTCTCTCTCTCTCTCTCTATATATATATATATATATATATATATATATATATATATATCTTAAACACAATTTAAAAAAGTGATTTCAAACGGACCCGTTCTCTAACTGGGGAAAGAATAAGAAGCAGAAGAAGAAGAGAGGAGAGGGGAAAACATGAAAACATGGAGAGACACAGTGGCATAAACAGTTTGAAAATAAATTCAATAATGATATGATGCAGGAGACAAGAAGTAGAAGCCCAAACCCGACATCCCACACCCTTCCCTCCTCAATCCTGTCCTTAATACACAAATAATCCACCAATATGTATTTGTCTCTTCCAAAATTCCCATTTTAATTGACGTTTTTCAATATATAGATAATAATAACAGAGGGTTGGGGGTAGGCTCTTCTTCTCCCATGCATCTGCTTCTCTGCATGCCCATTGCCCATCTCCATTGCTCTAATTAATTATACAAACTTACTTTTTCTACCTTCATCTATCAACCACTAACTTCCAAACCCTAATGGCTATACCCATCCATTTGAATTTTTGATATGTACCAACCTTCCCCTTCTTGTGTTATTAGTATTATTATTCATTTATTCTATATGGCCCCAATCACACAAGACAACTTATATATCAACTCCTTATTTTTCTTTTTATTCCTGTCTCTCATGATTTGATGTTTCCATATATAGCTACCTCATTTCTTCTTTAATTCCAAATATATTCTCTCTTCTTTTTCATTTCATTTGGGTGAGAAGGGGAGACGACGAACTGAATACCACCCTCATAATCAACACTCTTACTGTTTCTATTTCTTATTTCTCAATAATTCTCTCAATTATTTTTGTTTATTTTTTATATACACGTCGGAAACTTATTTCCGTAAAGGAATCAAAATCCCCTTTTTGTAAAACAAGGTGTAGTTTATATAACAAAATAAATAAATAAATAAATAAATGGAGGATGTTAGTCGGTCGTCTTATCTGCTTTTAAGGGTTTTATCTTGTTTTGAGCTAAAAGAATATCGATCAGAAGGAAAACAAAAAGTGGAGTGGAGTTTGTGAAAAGAGCAGAGCAGGCTTGTGACTCAAGTTTGGTTATAGATTCTCCACTCAACCAGTGGCTTAATGCAACCAACCATTTTCATTTTTTTTAATTTCTTGGCTTTTCTTTTGTTCCCATAATGCAAACCAATTTATATACTTCACCTATATACATCATTATGAAATGCTTTTCTTCCTTAATTCACATCTTATTCGCCCATCATGATATTACTACAAACAATCTAGTGTTGCTTCTTTCCTCTCATCATATCTTCTCATATAAAAATAAGTATTCATCCGTTGGGACCCCGATGGCCTATTGGATTGCGGCTCTGGGTTTTTGTCCTATGGTTAAGCTGATGAAGATATATATAATTAAGTGTAGACTAAAGGATAAGAATGCGGGAGTTGAAGCATAGATTGATAAAAGAAAAGAAAAAAAAAGAGAGAAAGTAATAGAAACAGTGTAATGATTATGATTGGAGAATGAGTTTAGTTAAGAAAGGAAGTGGATTGAAAGGTGGAAAAAGAAATGGGAACAAATGTAAGAGATTATGAGTGTAGTCCCAAAGGAAAGAGGACATGAAAAAGCAATCACCCACGTACCATTGTCCCCTCCCCTCCACCACCTCTTTAGATTCATTCATTCATTCACTCCTCAACCAAAATTATGCTTCTAAGCCTCCTTTTCATTCACTAATAATTTAGGCACTTTTATGATCCCCTGAAGTTAATATTTGGTTATGTATGTTCAAATAAGCAGAAGCGATGAGTTAGAAGAGAAAAAGAAAATAGAAAGAAGATAAAAGAGTGGTTGGAATAATATAGTAAAAGATAGCAAACATATGAAAATGAACAAAACATATAATGAGAGTAGACGAAAGTAGACAAAGAGAAGGCAATGAGAGAGGAGGGAAAAAGACATGGAGGTAATTAGGGGATGAGGGAGAGAAGGTTCGGCCCAACCCACTAAGGAAGTGAGGAAGCCCATGATGGTGACAACTCACGGCCCACCACTCGTCCCCACAGGATTAAAACAAAATGATTATTGATCAGAACAGAACAGAACAGAACAGAACAATCATCTTAGTCATGCTAATTGCGTTGTTAATGAATATGCATCTTTCATATGTGATTAGATGTAAGTGGTTTGTTTAATGATGAGCGTCTTGGGGGAGGGAATTATGATTTGATTCACGACCATGTCGTCCTTGGAACCTGACTTTACAACATCTTCAGTGTGACCTTTATAAAAGCTGTTCCTCTCTTTCCACACATTTTAATTAATCCCTCCCATTCACCCGCCCACCCTTTTCTTCTTCCGCTTTTTAATTCTAACGGGTGCGGGAGAAGGGCAGCAGAGTAGACGTATTGTATTGCTTAGGAGTTTGGGAGTGATCGTAATGAATTTTGTGCTGTTTTTGTTTTTGTTTTTGTTTTTGTTTGTTTGTTTGTGGGGGTGTGTTTCCCGCTGAAGATGAGGATTATTAGAAGAAAACAAGGGGAGGGAAGGTGGTAGCCCCATCCCCCTTCCCCTTCCCCTTCCCCTTCGACAAAACATATTATAAAACAACCCTCACATCTGATATCTATCTATTCCTTCCTTCCGATTTACACACAACTGAAGAGATATCATTTGGGTCTTCAACACTTTGGCATGATAGCCAATACGGCCACCTCGGCCTCCCTCTCTCTTCCTTCTTCGGAGCCTTACTCGTGCTTAGAAAATGGAAGCAGCAACAGCAACAGCAACAGCAACAAGAGGAAAAGAAGGCCTGCGGGCACCCCAGGTAACCCAATTTCTGATTTTAGGATTTTAGGTTTAAGGAAGTAAAGTTTGTGAGTAGATGGATGGTAATGTGTGTGTGTGTGTGTGCAGATCCTGATGCAGAGGTGGTGTCTCTCTCCCCAAAAACACTTCTAGAATCGGACCGGTACGTGTGCGAGATCTGCAACCAGGGGTTCCAGAGGGACCAGAACCTACAGATGCACAGACGGCGGCATAAGGTGCCTTGGAAGCTGTTGAAGAGGGAGAGTCCTGTTGTGCGGAAAAGGGTTTTCGTTTGCCCGGAGCCCAGCTGTCTGCACCACGACCCTTGCCACGCCCTCGGCGATCTGGTTGGCATCAAGAAGCACTTCCGAAGAAAGCACAGCAACCACAAGCAGTGGGTTTGTGAAAAGTGCTCCAAGGCCTACGCCGTTCAGTCTGATTACAAGGCCCATCTCAAAACCTGTGGCACCCGTGGCCACTCTTGCGATTGCGGCCGCGTTTTCTCTAGGTACTCATCATCTTCCTCTAATCATCTTTTCTTCTGCACCCTTTCTCCCTTGTTTCTCGCAAATCCAATCTTTTTCACCCCGTTTTAACATTATTTAATTCTATGTCAACGTTTCCCAGATTTCCTCCTCACACCAAATACTATCAATTCAATTCATATTTAGCATTAGAAGTGATGAACCATGTGTTTAGTTAAATACTGGGTTTTAGGAGGCATAAATAAATATATACACGTAGTTGGATTAATTAATTGAGGTGATAGGGTGGAGAGCTTTATAGAGCACCAAGATGCTTGCAATATGGGGCATCTCCGGCAAGAATCCCAAACCCTCCACCCCGCGTGTTTGTCCCGAACGGCTTCCAGTCGAAGCCCACCCAGCGACACTAACTTCACGGCGCCACCCACTGCCATCTTCTTAGCCCCCACCGACGATTCCATCAACAACAACAACAATAATAATAATAATAATCATAGCCATCACAATCTAGACCTCAAACTCTCAACTACTTCATCAAATGAAGGTTCTTCCACGCAACTACAGCTTTTGATCGGGTCGTGTGATTTTGGGGACAAGAAGAAAAGGGTGCAGTTGTTGGATAATGAGAAAGGTGGGGGCCGGGGGGCGGGGGGTGTTAGAGAAGAAGCGCGGGAGGAGCTAAGAGTGGCAATGGCGGAGAAGGCGTACGCGGAGGAGGCTAGGCAACAGGTGAAGCGGCAGATAGAAATGGCAGAGGAAGAATTCGTGAACGCAAAGAGGATGAGGCAACAGGCACAGGTGGAGTTAGATAAGGCTACAGCTCTTAAACAAGCGGCAATAAAACAGATAAACTCAACCCTTCTTGAGATCACTTGTCAAGCATGCCAGAAGCAATTTCAAGCCAAGCCCACAACTACTACTACTACTGCACCCGCTGACCATGACACTTCCGTAGCATTCAGTTACGTATCCTCAGTCATTACAACCGAAGGTGAAGTAGAGAAAGATCAAGCAACCCTTATACCTAATTAACCCTTCCCTTCCCTACCCATCTCATATATTATTATATTATAGTATATGGATCATTTTTTTTTTCATGGTCTCCTTGATAAATAATCTTCCTTATTTTTATTGTTTATGTTTGTAGTGAATAAATATGCAGAAAGAGTGCTGTGATTGTAGGTCGAGGGATGGAGTGTTGTACCCTTCGGCAGTTGATGCTTTGTAATTTTTTTCCCCCACCGATAGTTTGCTAATTAATTATTGCAGACTTCAATATAGAATGAGCAAGCATTTTTTGTTTGCTTTGTATTAATTTTATTTTATAAAAGAAAAAAGAAGTACAAAATTGATCTCATAACAGGTGATTTTGGATTTAGTGTTTGGAGTATATTGCAGGTGCAGAGGGCATTGGGTGTTGGTCATGTCACTGCGTTGAAGGGATACGACTCTCTTTCTTGGGCATTTAAGAACGGCACAGACCAATATTTATAACTGAACATCATTACATTGCATCAGTAAAAGTAAGGAGAGAGAAAGAGATAGGAAAGTGTGTGGGTGTGTGTGTTTTTCTCTCTTCTCTAGGAGGACAGAATGAGAGATAAATGTGAATAATAAGATCCCACACAGACACCCTATTTTTCAGTGCCACTCTGGTAAAGGGGAGTTGATGGCATAATCAGCCTGCACTCCTCCCTCTCAACTTAACTACCAGACACCATTTCTCTCTCCAAACCCACATATGAATCAGCGCTCCCTTCTTCTTATACTTCGGTTGAAATGAATAGAGTAACAGTGTTAACAAAGGCCCTCTGAACCTTTATCAACTTTGACAAAAGTTCTCTAACCCAGACGACCTTTTTGCATGCATTATTCACTGAAACCCCCGTGACCTTTTCATCCATTTTCTTGTTTCCAGGCAGGCACACTTCAAATAATTATATTTCCTTCCAAAATATTACCTTTATATATATTGGGTCAAAACTTTGGTCAACCCTGGGTCCTACTGGGCACGTAGGGTTACTCATTTCATATATTATTCCCTTCAATGTTGCACCTGCACCTAGGGTTACCCATCTTTTCTTTTCTTTTCCCCACCCACATGAATTCAGAAAATGTTGAAAGCTGCGCCACCAAGGCCTCAGAGTACCACATTAGCCATGGATTCAACCAACCGCTTTTCCATCCATTAATAATTATATTCTATTCAACTGCTGCTCTTCACAACTTAGTTATACTCAAAATTTTATTGCTTCCGCACCTTCTTTTAATTCATGCATATTATAAAGATATACAATAATAATAATAATCATAGGAATAGGAATGAGAATAATATAATCCATTCAATATACTTCTTGGTTCTAACTCTTTCATTTTAATCAATTCTGCATGTGGAGTGGAACCCTAAATAATTGATCATATTGGTATAATATTATTTATTTAAAACATAAGTGTACCTAATTTTAGATTTTGACCAACTCACAAGAAAAAATTAACCTCTGAATTTGGTCTCCAAATTTTTAGATATACATCTCTGTTTGTGTACTTAGAAAGAAGAAGATGGATTAGAATCAATGAGAGAAGATTTGTTCAAATTTGAAAATAAATAAATAAAAATTGTATATGCATAGGAAGGAAATTGCATGATTTTAATTTTGGAAATTAAAAGAAGAATGTCCACCAGGTTTAACATTATATTTTCAAAATCTATTAAAGAGGTCCACCATTCCTTGGGTGTTTCTTGGAAATTAAGCTTTAAACCAAATTCTCATGGACAATTTTGAAAGTAAACCTAATTAGTTTTTAATTCTAGAACCCCTTTCTTTGACTCTTCTGATAGAAAATAATAATAATAATAATAGTAATCATATAAATGAGACCACTACAAATATGTTGTTTCACAGTTGCTTTATAATATCCTGGATTCAAAAATCTGATCGAGACACTTACTATGTTTTTCTTTTAATACACTCAAGGGTGCAAAATTATTAACTAAAATGATACAATCGAATAATTTCTCCAAACCAAGAATTAGATTTAGGTCCATGCAAGCTTTATCTCTGGTTCCAAATCTGGAGTATCATGGAGATGCTGAAAAAGGAGGGGGAAAAAAAGAAAAGAAAAGAAAAAACGAGAGGAGGAAGGGGTCGGAGAGGAATGAAGAAAAGAAACGATATAAACACGTCCATCTACACCAGGGGAAGACTTAAGTTTTAAGCCTGGGGTTGTATCGACAGCACTTATAATTATAAAAGTAGATAACAATAATGCCCTTTGGAGAAGGGACTCCACAAAAGTTCAAATCCATTCCACATGTTCAAGTACATGATTTATGATAATCTCTCCCCCACATGAATTTGCTCTTCGGCAGTATGCAAAAATTAGATTTTTTAAAAAAATTCAATAACAAGTTTTAAGAAATGCATGTCATAAGTATCAAAATATGGTTAAAAACTAAAGAAATAATAACGGTCAAGTGTGCAGGTACTTGTCCCTGACAGCCATAGCCGCAGCTTTGTACCATGCTGCAGCGGCCATTGCACCTGGATCTGGAACTGCTGCGAGGAGTTCTCCAAATACATAGGACGAACGGCCAGCCTACACAAGCCATCCCAAAACGGTAAGCATGGAAGAAAAGATCCACAATTGTGTACGTAATACATCACCACATAATATCCCTCATTTCAATCAGATACCCTTTTCACAAAGATATATCTATGCCCATTTTATCGATGTTCACATAGAAGAATTTCCTTAAACCCGATCATTAATATTGGGAGTTTGGATGGAAAGAACCTTGTAAGTTATGGGTACTACGTTCGTCTGTCATGCAAAAAAATAATGAACACTTTTAATAACCATTTAATTTTTTATATTTGATTTTCAAATATCAACCTTGCAAACACTGCTTCTTTTTCGGGTTTTCTTTGTTTTATAATTCACTTTTAAGGAATGCTTCCAAAATTTGATGGCTTGCGTAGGCTGTCGACCGGAGAAAAAGGTGTCAAAATAATCAATCCTACATAGTTCAGCGTGGCATTTAGCAACAAATTGTTTAAACCGATGTATTGGGGTTAACCTTAGATTACAAACATCTATTCATACTAAATTTCCTTCTTTCATGTTAGAGGAGATACTAAAGCTCAAGAACTATTATCATCTGAAGCATTTAACTTCATAAACATTGTGTTTCGCCAACCAAGATGAGATATATCTTCCGATCAGAGTTAGGGGCAAAGGATCAAAGGATGTAACACAAAAGAGTACGTGGGTAACGGACATTGGGTTATATGAAACAACTGAAGACATAGGATAAGTACAAATGCGTTTACTTTTACGAAGGACAATTGGAAGCTCATCACTTGAGTAACAGGTGGACGAGGAAGGATTAATGCTGAAGGAGATGAATTTGGGAAGGATTTTGGATTGATCAATTACTTCGCTACCAATTTAATTCTTGATTTGAATGTAGCCACTTTGTGTCAGTATCTTGTGGGTCATCAATGATATGATCGTCCATATCAATGTTGCGTAGATAAGATCGAATAGTACAACTTCAAGCATAGTAACGCTGTCTTTGAGGGGAACTCTTTCGATATTGTCGGAAGGATACTTGTGGGAAGTAATTAGATTTAGTTAACTACTATTATTTAGGAAATTTAAATTATTTATCTATTTAGATTTAGTCTTTTCCTATAAAAAGGAAATGTAATTCTCTAAATAAATCAAATTAATTTAGACATCTCATACATTAGGGATACATAAAATGATGATAGAGAAAAAAAAAAAAAAAAAACAGACCTGAACGGCAAAAAACCAAAGACAAAAAACTGACTAGTCACTAAATATCCTCACACCCAATTGGGTTTTGATGAATCCAAGTATACAGACCGGTCAAGAACACAAAATAAACCTTACACGTGCTCTGCATTCGTCAGTGCATAGTGTTACGATCCTATTTGTCCAAAGCGTGTTACTCGTGACGACAGCCCATGTCATGTCAAATCCTTTTTTGTCCGTGCATGGTGTTATGATCATGTTTGTCCAAAGTGTGTTGCCCTTGGCAGCATGTCTATGTCATGCCAAACTCTTTTATCTTGATTCCAGGTTGTATTACTTTATTATTATAATTTCGGTAAGTGTGACATCTCGACAAAATCATTTCTACTTCTCAAAATATATTAAGGGACCAAGTAGTCATTAAACCTCACCCAACCAAGTGTTGTAAACTCTCTTGCTCACATATTTTCAATGCAATTGCCAACCATGTTTTTTTTCAAATTGTTTTCCACTCATTTTCTCGATCACGTTTTATAAAAACATTCGCTCAAAAAGTGAACCGAGACTTATGACTACGTCGAGATTGTTTGCAAATCCCGTTTTTCATATAACCGACTTGTTCGTTAGGATAGAACAAGGGTCAAACAATCGCCGTTTTGTTATAAAAAAAAGTGTGATTGTGACACCAAACGAGACATCTGGTAGCATGTGTGTCTCACACACGACAATTTCTAACAAATGAAGATGGCGATCCCACTCTCCTGACGGCGTCACTCCTCCATGGGTGGATGGTGATAACAAATAGGCACTCTAATTTGATGATCTAAACTTCAAACCTTAGCCCCACTAGAAGAAAGGAAACCCTTATTACCAACAGAGAAATCTAAAGGCTAGAGGTGGCTTTGACACCATGTCACTCAGTATTAAAAGAATACTCTTCATATTTCATATAAGAGAATCAAATATATAGATAACAAGAAAATTCTAAACTATAATAATGTACAATTATAAAAAAAAAAAAAAAAAAAAAAAAAAA